ACAACAACAACTTAAACATCAACAACATCAGTGATAACCGACGACAAAACACAAGCAGACGGAGGTGACGCACTGTGTCCCAGATCTGTAGTTTGATTTGATGGCCATCAATGGTCACCATTCGCGCCCCAAACTCAACCCCTGCGTGCGTGGAAGAGAAAGAGCAAGCACACACGGAAAGGAGGCATTTTTCAGATGTCAGCCAAAAGGAAGCACCCCTTTGTGTGTTTGTCAAAGGCACAGCATCGCAGGACAGGGTGGCAGCCTGTACACACACGACAACACACATGTACTTCCACGTACCGATGGTGAGGTCGTGGACTGTCTGGAAACGGTGATCTGTAAACTGCAGCAGCAGACAAGACTTTCCAACGGCTGATCAAGCGTGTGTTTGTGCGCGCGTGTGTGTGTGCGCGCGTGTTTGTGTGCGCGCGTGTGTGTATGTGTGTTGAATGGGTGAGCGCTGCTCTTTGGGCTGCCGTTGTGGCTGTTGTTCACACAAACGTTGATCAACAAAGACGTAGAACGTGCACATATGGATGCACGCACACACACACACACACACAAACAACACACAGACAACTGACACACACGCACACACACACACAAACAACACCACACACACACACACACAAACAACACCACACACACACACACACACACACACACACAAACAACACACACCTGAGTCGCCGATGATGATGTACTTGAACAGGTACGAGTAGCTCGACATGGTTCCGATATGCTGCTGTATGTGTTGTTGGCAGCAGAAGGAATGAATGAGTCAGCAGTCCGACGAAGAAGCTGTGCACTTGCTTGCTTGCTTGCTTGCCTGTTTGCTGGATCCACCACAGGAAAAAGCAACAGGAGGAGCCCTGAAGAAGACGCAGTTGCTAGCTTCTCCTCGCGCCTGTTGCCTCGTTCGTCGCTTGCGTTGCTTGTTGGGGAAAGGTGTACACACAACCCGATATCAAAAGTCGAAGCAGGGTGGCTCGTCTGCTGATTCTCGTTCTTCTTGCTTGCTTGCTTGCTTGCTTTCTTTTCGTCGTGCTTTTCGGCTTAATTGATGGCGAAAATTCACGCAAGTCGCCCATCAATTTTCTCTCCGGGTGTGTGTGTGGTTTTGCTGCGAGTTGTTCTTCCTTTGTCTCCTTCGCCATCGTCGGCCTTCTTCCTCTTCTCTCTCACACACGCTCGGTTTTCTTTCTCTTTCTCCCTTCCCTTTGAGATTCATGTCTTTGTGCAGCGTATTCAAGCACGAGCCATGTTCATTCTTTGGGGGCGCAAGCACACCACGAGAACGAGGGGAGAAATAAGACAGTGAACAAGGGGGAAAAGAGAAAGATAAAAGTGTACACATACGAGCAAGAGAGAAAAGAGAGGGCAGAAATAGGGGCAGCGCGTCGCCTTGGTGCAAGACAGAGCGTGCCTTTGTGGGGGGGGGGATGGAAGGGGGGTGTTGTGGTTATCTCATGAGAACAGCTTCTTCATGTTTGTCGAGCAAAAGGTGAACGAGGGTAGAAGAGGTAAAAAAAAAAGAGGGGAGGGGGAAGCTGACGGCGACGAAACCAGCAGAAGTGGAGGGAACACCAGCAGCTGGTACATCCAAAGAGCGAGGTTCTATCCACGAGAGAAATGGGCGACAGCAGCGGTTGGCACTTTAGTAGCCAGAAGCGTTGTGACGCACAGCCTGGCATTTATGGGGAGGACAGGAAAAAAGTTGGCGGGAAGCAAGCAAGTGAAGGAAGCAAGTGGTGAGTTATGGCGGCGTTGATCAAATGAATGCGAAATGAATGCGAGGCCAGCTACAAAAGGAGGTCATGCCACGCAATGATGCTCGTGCACGCACACACAACACACAACACAAGCACAAACCACACACACACCACACACAACACAAGCACAAGCATGATGACAGCAAAGCTCACCTGGTCCTTGGCGACGGCGTTAACGTACTGAGGAGGCTTGGGGGCACCGACGGCGTGGGCAATGCCCTGGGACTGCGAGTCGAGCTTGGGCGCGCCCTCGCCACCCTTGTTGATCTGAAGGGACTGACGCTGGGAGGTGGAACCGGTCTGGGAGGTGGCGTGCTTCACGTCAAGCGCATCGGCGGGGATGGTGCCACCAGGCTTGACCTGCCACTTGTAGCTCTTGTCAGACATAGTGAAGGTTGTGTGTGTGTTTGGCAGAGGGGGGAGGGTGGCTAGCAAAAGTTGGCAAAGTCGTAAGGTGTGCGGGAACGACGAGAGATGAATGGCGAATGCGCGAAGTGCCACGCTGTCAAGAACAACAAAACAAACAAGGCTTGTTGTTGTTGTTGTGGCGGTGACGCAGTCGGATGTGGCGCTGTTTTGTTTGCCGTAGCAAGCAGCAGCAGCAGCAGTGCACTGATGTTGCAGCAACACAACACGAAGCAAACAAAACAAAACAACAAAGAAGAGGTGTGTTGTCCCCTGCTGCTTGTTTTACTGTGTGATGTGTGCCTAGCCGCGCAAGCACACACTTCGCTTCTTCTCCTCGCTTCTGTGGTGCTCGCGCGGAAAGTTGTGTGTATCTTTAGTGAATTCTCTTCACAAACAAGAGGGGGCGGCACCCACTTTCCTCTTTCGGCGGCCAGAATGTGCGAGAATGCCGTGAGGTGGTAAAGTCGCTTATGTCTCGGGTGGCATATTCAACCCAATCGCAATTTACCAACACACGCAGGATGGCGGACGTTGTTGTGGGTGGTGGTGGCAGCGGCGGCCGCGGCGGTGAGGCAACGGCATCATCGTCTGTGATGAACAACAACGATGCAGCTGCTGCAGGGGTGGGTGCGGTTGTTAGTGAGATCAGTGGCAAATTGCAAAGAGTACGTGCCGCTATGGATGGCTTCTTAAGCAAGCCCACAACGCGTCGCATCAACGCTTACGTCACCATCGCCGCCAGATGGGTAGGTGTGTGTGTGTGTCTGTCTGTGTGTGTGTCTGTGTCTGTTTGTTTGTGTGTGTGTGTGTCTGTGTGTGCGTGTGTGTCTGTCTGTCTGTGTCTGTGTGTCTGTCTGTCTGTCTGTGTGTCTGTCTGTCTGTCTGTCTGTCTGTCTGTCTGTCTGTCTGTGTGTGTGTGTGTGTCTGTCCGTCCGTCCGCCTGTCTGTCTGTCCGTCCGTCCGCCTGTCTGTCCGTCCGTCCGTCTGTGCTCAAATGTGCGCGACTCACTCGCGCTGGCCTTTGCTTGCTTGCTGCCCACTCACGCTCGTCTTCCCAACGCCCTCCGCTTCGCTTGCACCCCCCCACCTCCGGATTCCTTTAGCTTGTGTGCGCGTTTCATGTCAACTGGGCGCTAACCCAGCTGGAGCTGTGGTATTTTTACGGGCGCACGTTTCCCTGGCTCCTCGTCATCTTTGTGCTGCCTGCTGCCACCCTTGTGTGTGCAAATGTCAAGCCCGCCATGGCAGCAACAGTCCTCCTCATCTCGTCCTTCTTCACCTTCTTCGACGTCATGTCACAAGTCCTTTGGGTCAGTCACGCCCCGCTGCCTCGGTGTCCTTGTGCTGTGGTTGAAGTACTTTGCGCTGACTTCTGCTCACCACCACCACCCCTCCCGCGCGCCAAATCGGTCTCTGTTTGTCTCCTGCGCTCGATCGCAACCTCGCTGAGTGGCCCGCATGCTGACCACTGACCTGCAACATCTCTTTGATCACCTTTCCGCAGGTGTGGTTCAATCACGGGTCAATCTACGTCAACGAGCTCATGGTCAAGAAACTGGCAATGTACGTGACTGTTGACTGTCTGCGTGTGTACCCCGCACACCCGCGTCCCAACAACGCCAATCGTGCTTGTGGTGCTGTTGTTTCTCCCTTGGTTGTTTCATTGCGTTCGTTCGGTTGCGCGCCGTGTCTAACCTCACTGTGTGCGTGCGTGCGTGCGTGCTTTTGGTCACGGCAGCATTGGCGCCATGAGCTTGGTTATCCTGCGGGAATACAACCCGAAACACCGCGTCTCCGCACAGCAGGCCCTCGCCTCCGCCCTCTTCCTCGACCAGCCCGCCATGACAAACCGCAAGAGCGCCTTTATGCTGGTGTGTGTGTGTGTGTGTTTGAACAAGTGTGTCTGCGTGTGTGTGCGTGCGTGTGTATGTGCAAGTGTGTACAAGTGTGTGTGTGTACGTGCGTGCGTGTGTATGTGCAAGTGTGTATCTGTACAAGTGTGTGTGTGTGTCTGTGTCTGTGTCTGTGTCTGTGTCTGCACAAGTGTGTGTGTATGTGTGTGTGTGTCTGTACACGTGTCTGTGTTTGTACAGCCTTGAGTTTGTGTGCATTAATACGCGTGTCGTTGCGTGTGCTGCCTCACAAGCAATCGCTGTTTCCCTAACCCACCCCACCCCCTTCCTCAATCTTTGCGGCTGCACGTCGCCAGGCTGGCCGGCTCCTGCTGTCCACGCTATTTGTGTGGGTTGGCGTGAAGGAGATTCAGCGGCAAATGGAGAACACGATTGAGCGCAACGGCCACGTGTACCGCCGCCGCCCCGTCGGCGATGGCCATGATGCAATGTGGTACAAGCTCCTCGAATTCGCGCTCAGGTCAGTCGGGGTCTGTGTCTCTGTGTGTGCGCGTGTCTGTCTGTGTCTGTGTGCGTGTGTGTGTGTGTGTGTGTGTGTGTGTGTGTGTGCGTGCGTCTGTGTGTGTGTGTGTGTGTGTGTGTGTGTGTGCGTGCGTCTGTGTGTGTGTGTGTGTGTGTGTGTGTGTGTGTGTGTGTGTGTGTGCGTGCGTCTGTGTGTGTGTGTGTGTGTGTGCGTGCGTCTGTGTGTGTGTGTGTGTGTGTGTGCGTGCGTCTGTGTGTGTGTGTGTGCGTGCGTCTGTGTGTGTGTGTGTGTGTGTGTGTGTGTGTGTGTGTGTGTGTGTGTGTGTGTGCGTACATGTCTGTCTGTGTGTGGTTTGTTGTTTGGGGCCAGCGGCCAAGCGGACTCCGCCTGCCCGCATGTGAGTACATTCCCAATTCACCACCCAATTCACCACCCAATTCA